CACCGACTCACACCGATTGTGTTACTTTAGTCATGTGGGAACAGCAAACTGTAGCAGTGATCATATGACAGAATTATTCTCTTTAGATTTTTAGTTGTTATTGTTTAGGGAACATTTTTACCTTCTCACGGCAATATTACAGATGAAATTTGGACTGCGAGATATTTTTATTTCTGTTTTTGGTTCCTCCGATGAAGCGATCGCCAGCACCGTGTTTACATTTTAATAATACAAAACCAAAACTTTATGGGTTTTGTTTATCACTATTTGGGTTTTTTTAGAATTGAGTTGATCCACAGGCGGTATTTTGAGATGTCTGTAAAAACGTTGGGTACATCAGGATAGTCACAGTTTCTTTTTTTGTTGAAGGAAACGACACCAACAGCGATTCCTTTGCATACCAGCGGGCCGCCTGAATCACCCTGTGAGGAGGAGGAAGACTTTTGAGTTGTCTTTTTAAGTTTCAGTTTTCGATAACAGGCCAAATTACAGCGTCAGTGATTGGACGGGAAACATACCTGACAGAACCCTTTGTCTGTGCCATAACCACCTGCGCAGATTACATTAGCAGGAAGACCAGGCCACAGTTCCTTACACACCTTTTTGTTGATGACAGGCACATCCACCACTCTCAGCTCATTAACAGTTTCACCAGCAGTTATAGTTTTTCCCCATCCAGACACCTGACACACTTCATTTTTTCTCAGTTGTACTTTAGCAGATGGCAGTGGAATTATTTTTACTCTCTTGTTTAGTTGAACTTTCCTGGAAAGCTGGAGACAGTTAGCATTAGAAATGCTCGCACTGTTATGCAGTGTAAATAATTAGATCACAAAATGATATCACCTTAAACCTTTAATGTTTCAGTATTAGTTTAGTTCATACTTACTTTAAGGAGCATGATGTCATCACCGTGCCAAGCCGTTTTATAAAAGTTGGGCTTGAATTTCTTTTTAATTGTTATTTTTTCTTGATGGGACTTCTCGAGATTGTGAGTGGCGAGAACAACGTGCGTGGGATTTCTGGAACAGTAATCGTTGTAATCAATACACTTTCTAAATCAGTTTTAAATGCTGTCAGTCACATTCTGCCACTGAAAAAGAATAATGACTTACTCTTTGGCACAGTGTGCAGCAGTGAGCACAAAGTCTGCAGTGATGAGAAATCCTCCACATACATGACCGGTGCTGCTCTGCACTGAGGCCATGTACAGCAATGAGTTCTCTGGAGCCTTTTTACCCTTTATGATGTCACTCCCATGTCCTCCAAAGAGGAAAAAAAACAAGTTGATGCTCCCGTCAGATAGTCAGAGAATGATAATCGATGATTAATTCTTACCAGCTTGTGTGAGACATGTGAAGACATGGAAGAACAGAAGTATCTGCAGAGCGTGCATGATGCCATCAAAACACCACATGTGTCACGTTGACCCTTTTATGCTGCAGCTTGCTTCAATGACTTCTAACCACATCCTGTAAGGTAAGCTACACATACATAGATAATCTTTCATTATCAATATGAAACACATTTATAATTTTGCGAGTGTGTATATATTTATTTTAGTGTCCAACACATATATTCACATTATTTTTCTTTCTTTATCACCATTTGAGGCTCAATTTCAGATCAACTTTTGTGATTTAAGACTTTTCAGCTTCCTGATTCGGTTCATTGGGCACCTTTTTGGGCCTCCTTTTTTT